TGAGTTCAGGGTTAAAAAGTTCTTTAGACTAACTGAGGCCTTCAAGTATTCATCGGATACACTTGAATGGTTCCAGAAAGTCATTAGAGAGAGACTGGGTAGACACCACGTGCCAAGAGAAGAAAGGAGTCGGCTCATTTATGAGATATCGACAGTCATCGGGTATCGAAGACTGCTCATGCGCTTCAGAGAAATATATCAAGGTATCTCATGATGAGTTGTATTTTTGTTTGCCTTAATGTATTTTGATTCCAGTATTGTAAGATTTTCATCAGCAAATGAAAATTTGGAATTTGATGTTTTTCTATAGGTTTAGTCTCTGTTCTTCACAAGTGTTTCTAGATTAGTATATGTTTGTTATTTCATTACTTAGGGGGAGATTGTTAAACCCCATAATTCATAATATAAAAAGTAATGAAAAACAATAAGTGATGAAGAACCAGAAGACCAATGAAGACATCAAGGCAGAAACGACTAAGTCTGGAGCACAACCAGAGGACCGATGGACGACCAAGGATGCGATGGAAAGTGCATCTCCATCGACCCTCTGGTCATCTACACTTAGAGAATTATCCAGCAATTCATCCTGAAGCATGCGATGAAAACTTAAAGATAAGGATGATCCATCACATCATGAATGACAGCTGGAGATGACAAGTCAACAGCTAGACTTCGAGTTTATCTTTGATATTAAAGTTTATCCATAGTTTAGATAAACGTTATCTGTTAATAGAAGATTAGCTAAAATGTCTCACTAGATAGTTATCTTCTTATTAGCTTATTAGTATAAATAGGTGGTTAGGCCTATTGTAAAAAGTCGCTTTTCGTTTTTATTATTTAAATAGTGAAATCTTTGACGCTCAAGATTGTTCTTAATTGTTCTTACTTTCTTCTTGAGTGTTCATCACTTTATTCATCAAATCACTATAAATTGATTATTATTAACTAGATTATTAGTGTTATTGAGAGATTTGGGATCAACAGACCCCACCCTAGCTTAATGCATTAAGCTAGGATTGTCTTTTTCCAAACCCTTACCATACAATAATCTCACATCTCATTAAAAAAATGCAGTCTAAAGCAAATACATAGATTAAAACATGTAATTAAACAATGATATTTAATCTTTTTAAGTATATTTTAAGCTATTATGCATTGTCTAATGAACTCATTAAATTTATATCATTTGTGCTTTTTATATAATTTATACAATTTTATTTGTCATTTATAAGATTTATCAAACAACTAATTCTTATTCGACACTTATGTAGACAGAAGATTAAAATGATAACTTTTGTTATTCAAAATAATAATTCACAATAAAAATCAAATAACAGATTATCATAATTTATCTAAGTTGATTAATATTTAATAATAATTTGATGGATACAAAGCTTAATAGAAAATAAAATCAAACAACCCCTAAATTACGTTTAGCTCGAATTTTAATTTGTGAAAATTGTACCAAAATGGAACCAACTTTCACCTGATTCCTATTGTGAGGAACCAACTTTCAAAATCGTCATTTAGAAGTCTCTATCAAACTTTTTGTTTATTTAGGAGTCTAGTTAACCTGTTGAACAGGTAACAAATATTTTAATATGACTTGACAAAAAATTACTTAAAAAAATATTATGTGGAAATTATTTTTGCCAAATCATCATCATCATCATCATTAAAACAAATCAAAATTAGGTTTCTAATCGTCCGCTTCCAAAAAACATGTCTCCTACGTCTCCTCCCTTCCTTGGTCGCAACCCTAGACCTCCCTCTCGCCTTCTGTCGCCGTCGACTTCTGCCGCCGTTGACTTCTGTCGCCGTCGTCTTCTACCGCCGTAGTTTTCTCTCGTTGTCACTCACATTTCCCGTCTGGCAGGTTGTCCTCTCCAACGATATTCATCAGGTATACCGAACAGCGACACTTGCATCTTCTTCTTCTTCTGGAATACAAACTTGAATCTCATATTCCTAATTGGAATACTGGTTTCATGTTTTCTTCATTGATTCCAGGACTCCTATTTCATCATCATATATGTTATCGGCACGAATACCACCCAATTATATGCATCTGATTCATGCTTTGTACGCTGCTTTTATGCATCCGATTATGTTTTTAGGTATAAAAATTCACTTACACCTTCCAATTGCCCCTCCAACAGAATTGGTTAAGTTGTTGTTGTTAAGCACAATGACAAATCCAAAAAGATAACTCTGTATCAACACGATGATTAGTGAATGCATGTTTTAAATAAATTGTAACCATAAATTTCCAACCTATTTTCCTTTGTAATCTAAAACAACAATGTGAAGTTATAAAAAAAAAACAAGTGAAGGTGCTGCTATATCCAATCCATTCCTTTCTTTTTCTTTCCTCACATTATGCAGTAGTTTGGTTGAGAATCAAGCATTTCCAGTGACCTGCATGCATTAATCCAAGTTATCAAGACAGAATTCAATTCAATTCATATAAACAATTATTAATATTTTGTTACCACAACCACAACCAATGTTACTAGATCTTGTAGCATATGTTATCAAATCCTAAATTTCAACTTGAATATTTGTCTGCATGACCTTAAATGTCAAACTATAAGAACTTTGATTGCAAGATTAACAACTATATCGCATGAGGATTTAAGGGTTAAAAGCATATATATGTCACCAAGCTTGTTACTTTTCAGATTCAAACTTCATATGAACTTTGTTACCCTACATTGTTAGATATTGTAGAGTAAACCATTGTTATAGTTAAGCTGATATGGTGGCAATTGCCCAACAGTTTAGCCAATAAAGCACACAATCATAAAACATATGAAGTCTATGACTAAACAGGAAGTCTTTAATTATAAATGGATGATCCTATACATGTTATATTAGTGTAATTAATTTTCTCTTATTTAATAAGAGCCTAACTAGTGGTCTTAAAAGAAAAACAAATCAAAGGAGTTGACTGCAGGAATCGGCCAGTTTTTGCATTAATATTTCCTTTCTTTACTCCCTCACCTTTTGGGTGTCATATTAGGAAACTAGAACAGATAGAATGGGAGCACTTGTTTTCTGTGTTGAATAGATATTTTTGTTGTCTTTTGTCATTTTCTTTTCTTGGTTGTGCTCTACTATTTTTCTGCCTTTTCTCTAGAAAGACTATTAGACATCAATAATAACGGTAGTCTTGTTCATAATTCATAATAATAGGTGGTTGTCTTTCTGCTCCTTATTCCACTATATTATGTTTTAAGATATAAGAATTTTCTTACCAAGGTCTTTCAAGTTTATTCTTATTCTTTCTCATCTACCAAGGACCAAATTGCCATCCTTATTCTTTCTGATATATTTGTTAATTTTTGTATATGCGTTAATACGTTATATATCCAGTCACGCATACATGCTTCCACCTATTCTTTTTCAAAGAGTAGTTAAGTTTATCATACAAGTTACACCAGTAATTAGTTCAGCTGCTTTTGTTGTTCATCATACAAGTTACACCAGTTATTAGTTGTAATGTTGCTACCATTATTTTCATATTGAGATTTTAAAAAAGTTTATTTTCAGGTTTAAAGAGAACCAATATGAAGATCAATTTGGCTATAAATCATGGTGGCATGTTCCAAACAAATCCATTCTATGGAGGTAAAGTTGCATATTTGAAAGATTTTGATGCAAGTAACATAAGTATAGAATCTTAAGACAACGCATTGAAGATTTTACTTTATCAGAAGTTAGTCGAATGTATTATAAGGTTCCTAACACAGATTTGGGAAAAGGATTGAAACCCCTTGATAGTGATGCAGATATTAAAAGGTTTTTTAGTTATGGTATATTGTCGGCACAATTGGAAATTTTTATTGATCATTTTAATATTGATATTAGTGAGTTCTTAATAGTGATTATGATGATACCATTGAAGAGGATTATGTTATCGGTAGTGATGATGAGATTAGTTTTTTCGATGTTGATGATGACAAGGTTGCTAGTATAAATCATTTATCAGAAGGGGATGATGAGATTAGAGAGGTTAGAATGAGAAAATTCAATAGGGAAATGGAATATGTGAATGTTGAAGATGCAATAAACTCTTCTAATGCAAATGTTCGAGTCCCTAGAGATGATAACATGGAAAGAGAAAATGAGATACAATAACAACCATATCAACATGATGGTTTTTTGATAGAATTGTGTGACGGGTACAATAGGGCTAGGTTTGTTGAAGACGTCGTTAATTCCGAAAATGAAAATGAAATGGTTGAAGACGATGAGGCCAAAACCAATGAACTTCCAATTCGCAATCCAAATGTTCCTTGGAACTTAATGAAGCCTCAAGTTGGTGAACGATATTCATCGGCCTTGGAGTTAAAGAATTGCTTGACAAATTATGCTCTTTCAAATGGCCTTCAACTCAAGTATGCTACTTATCTTATTTACTTACATACACTTATTATGTAATTACTAACTTTTTTTTGACACAATTTTATCAATGAAGGTATCTAAAAAATAGCAAAGACAAGTTACATGTTGTGTGTGGACTGCCTAAAAAAGGATATGAAAGTAGTCGTCCATGGAGATTGTAGGCATCTTGGATGAAGGGTGAAAAATCATTCCAAGTCAAGTCACTAAATGATGAGCACAAGTGTGGGAGAAATTACATGTTAGGTTTACTTTGTGAATCCAATTGGATTGCTAAACAATATGGGAGGAAGATTAGACAAAACCCATCGATCAAGTTAGTTGATTTGAAGGAATCCATTCTAAAAAACTACAAGTGCATTGTTCAGTTGAGTCAATGCCAAAGGGCTAAGGCCAAGGCATTGGGGGAAGTAGAAATGACTCTAATTGAGCATTACGGAAAGTGTCGAGGTAGAAGGAGTAATCCAGGATCGATGGTTAAAATTAGTGTCGAGGTAGGGCCAAATAATATAAATTATTTTCAAAGATTTTATGTTGTTTTAAGGGTATAAAAGAAGGTTGGTTGTCAGGGGCTAGGGGATTCATTGGCTTGGATGGATATTTTCTTAAAACTGTATGCAAGGGAGAGTTGTTAAGTGCGATAGGAAAAGACGATAACAACCAAATATATCCTCTTGCATGGGCAGTGGTGGAGGTTGAAAATAAAGACAGTTGGGAGTGGTTTTTAAATTTTCTAATGGAGGACATTGGATTGACCGATGGGTTAGGGGTAACATTGATGTCAGATCAACATAAGGTAATAGTATACTAATAATTAACTGCAAACATTTGCTAATCTATTTTGAATGTGATCTTCTAATTAGTTATTTGCATTATGCTAATACATGGACTTGTTGAAGCTGTTAAAGAGGTATTCCCACTTGCTGAGCATCATGAATGTGCTAGACACATAGACGCCAATTTCAAGAAGTACACTAGTATCCAATTCAGATCTTTGTTTTGGGTTGCATCCAAGTCAGGGACACCACAAGAATTTGAAGAAATTATGCAAGAAATTAGAAGTTTGTCTCCCCATGCTTATGAACATTTGATGGAAAGACAACCGTCAACATGGTCAAGGGCTTTATTCAACATCGACACATCATGTGATGCTGTAAAAAACGGAGCAAGTGAGTGTTTTAACTCTTTGATTTTCTCATCCAGGAGAAAACCTATAAAACAATGCTCGAGGAGATTAGGGCTCTTGTGATGCAAAGAATGGTTAGGATGAGCAACAAAGCATGCAACTGGGATGATGAAATCTGTCCAAATATAAGAAAGAAAGTTGAGCAAAATAAGGAGTTAATGCAGCATGTTTATGATTATTATGCTTTATGCATATAAGGTAATTTGTTTCATAAATATTACATTATGGTTTGCCAATATTATTATTTTTTGCAGATTTTGGCGTGTTGCTCCCAATGGAGGGAATCTTTTTAAAGTAAGACAAAGGACTAGAGGGTTGTTGTCGACACTCAATGTAGAACATGCACTTGCAGAAGTTGGCAAGTTTATGAAATTCCTTGTCCGTATGTTGTTGCAGCCATATATGTAACACCCTTAAACTCACATTGCATATAACACATAATTCATTCATAGAATACATGTTCAAGCCCAAAAAGGTCCAAAGTACAAGAGGCTACAATACAAAATACACAACTCAAAAATTTCAAAGTACATGCTCGTGTACTACATATCATTTAATATCAAAATACATCCATCGATCTTCATAAGGCTAAGCACATAGAGAGATAATTCATAATTTGTCTTTCCCTTTACTATCATTATATTAAGCATTTCCTGCAATACATATTTGAAAACACAAAATGAGGGTTAGACCTATAGGTTTAGTGAGATCCCTTTTTCCATGTAGTTGCAGGGTGAATATCTCCGAAGCATTATTTAAATAAAATCATTTCACATAATGAAGTGTAAATCCATATTCTGTTTACGTTCATCGGACCTTTGGTTTCAAAGACCAAACTTAGAAAATATTTCGACAAGCAAGAGGACCAAAGCTCATCTGGTTCCTCTACCAGAGCTTATTACTTAACTAAATTCTCAAAACGTTCAGAGATCAACATCATAGATAATAAAATAGCTTTCCCAAGAATAAAAATATGTTTTTAAAAGGATTATTTATGACCAGAGCAGAGCTCTGGTTCTACTAGCCAGAGCTTCTGGGTCAAAATGCAAGACCAACCAGAGCCTCTGGTCCAACGCGGTAGGCCAACCAGAGCTCCTATGGTTTGTCTTTCTTTGTAAGAAAAACTTCAAAGTATAAAACCCTTTTGAAAATTCTTTTTAAAGTATAATTTTGATATAGAGCTCTTATCTATAGATACAGAGCCTCTAGTTTAACTAAAAACTTTGCAAAAGACTTGAATAATTCTCAAATCATCGTCCAGAACCCTCTGGTTCTATTATGAGGACCAACCAGAGCCCATCTGGTTTCTTTCAAGAAACAACCAGAGTCTCTCTGGTTCCTTTTAAATCAAACACTTGTTCCAAAATACAGTTTATCCAAAACCATTGGCCATAGGCCAAGTTTTCCCTTTCTCAATAACATCAATACTATCATTTCTAATAAGCGCAATATCTCCGAGTCTTCAAATCACAAAGAAGTAAGAACTCAAATCTCTTGCAATCTTAAAAGACATAATAGCAAGAGCTATAATATTCACACACACAATTGTCATCCTTATATCCAAAGGTACACCTCTCCTTGATATGCCACCCTTATAGCTGAAGGTACATCTCTTTTTGATATGCCACCTACACCTCTCCTTGATATGTCACCCTTGTTTCCTCATCAAAATCTATAGGTTAGTTCCAAAGGAAGACATACCAAAGTCAAAACCGTCTTGATGAAACAGCGTCCATAGTTTTATCCACAAAATCTGTAGATTAATCCCAAACGAAGACAGACCGAAGTCACAACCGTCTTGATGAAATGTCCTCTATAGTTTTTAACCAATAATGGTTTCAAAACAGTTTTATCATCAAAACTTTGAAACTCAAGAACAATTAGTTCTTTCAACCATTTTTCAAATCACAAAACAAAAATCTCCTTTAATCCTCAAAACAGGATATCATTCCAAAATTGTTTTAAAGAGCAGAATCTATTATATCTTTTCAAAACAGTTTCCAAATCCAATATCATAAACACACATCTATAAACTGTTAGAAAACAGTTTTCAAATGACATTATATAAGGATTTTAGTTATCAAAACTCATCTTATCTGCACAGTTTGGAAGATTCAACACAAAGTCTTCAAAAATGCTTTTGTGCAATATTCTTCTCAAGAACAACCTCCACCGCCACATTCCACACTTTTTCTCTCAAATGTTCTTCCCAAAGAAAACAAGATAAGATTGGATCTTATCTTTTTATCTCCTTATAAATTTTCTAATATAGGCGGTGGTGATTTTTTATTGATAAAAAACTCTTTGAGCGGTGGAAGTTAATATTTTAAAAATCAACTTTTCTTAACCACTAAGGTACCATCTCATTTAATAATAGATTTTCACATAAGCATGCTACCGTACATGCACTTTCACATTTCCCATGTATGCATATTATTATGTACACACATATCATTTTCTCATATGCATGCATAGCATCATATTCACATGCATGTATGATCCATGCTTTTCTAAATTAAACATGCATATTTCACATAATTCACATAATAATCACGCAAGGTTACCTCAACCAGTGTTGCATGGAACCTGGTTATAACAATATACTTCATTCACCAAGATCCAACTAACCTTGTGTCTCATTTGTTCTAAAAAATAAAGTTTAGTAATACATATAATCACATGATCAACCCTTTGAATGGGATCAAACTTTGGCCAAGGATAGATTTTGCCAAACTTTTGCCCCCAAATTCTAGACGCATGTCTGGGAGGCATACAATAGCCAGAAGGAAAGATGGAAGTGAAGGAAGTAGTCACACTAGAAGAAATGCATACGACCATGAAGTTGTAGCCAAATCGGGGAGAAAGATGACTTGCAGAAATTGTTTGGAGGTAGCACATAATTCTAGGAGTTGTAAAAATAAAAAGAGAGATGCTCTAATTCAGCCAAAAAAATCCAGTTGGTAGACTGAGAAAAAACAACGTAGAAGAGAATGATTTAGTTGTTGGAAGCAATATAAAAGGAAGGGATTCAAGAGATAGGGTTCAAGAGGTACGAGTGTACATGATACGATTATAGAAGTAAGTATAATAATTATGATTCACATTGTGTTTGAATGAATCAAATATTGTAGCTAAAAAAAGTAGGTTTATTTTGCATCACAGGTTAGTTTATATTGTTTATTTTGTAAAAAAACAATATTTATTTTGGTAATTTGGATTTTTTTTTGAAAAAAATTTCAACTTGATATTTGAATTTTTGTTATTTAGAAAACGAAATTTGGAATGAAAAATAGATTTTATTGCATTAATTTTAAAAAAAATTAGTTATTTTTCTATAATTATTTTGTAATTTTAAATATGACGTGGAATATTAGTTTTAACATAAAAAATTAATATGACGTGGAATATCTTAGTTAGCAAAAGATCTAGATGATGTCAATATTAACAAGTCAACAGGTCAACCAGACCTTTAAATAAACAAAAAAGTTTGATGAAAACCCTCTAAATAACGATTTTAAAGATTAATTCTTGAAAATAAATATCAAGTAAAAGTTGTTTCTATCCTGATGCAAATTTTCTTTTAATTTAAAAAAAATGAAAAATAAAACATATGTCAGTTTTGAGACGTGTCAAAAGGGGTAGAAACTTGGGATGGTCATAAAAATTTAATTCAAGAAAAAAGAGTATTTATTATTATTAATACCAAAATAGTTGGTTTGAATAGAAGTCGTTGGTCTATTCAACTGCCATTTTCCACACGCCATTTTGCAAAATTTCCACAACTCCAGTCGTCTCTCCCAGTCAACCCTCTCTACTCTGCTTTTCTTGATTAAAATTCCCAACAAAACTCATAATCTTCATCATTACTTCGTCGAGAACCAGAAAACATTGATATATGTTGTGAAGGTCATTGAACCTTGAACATCAAACCCCATGAAAATGAGCAGGTATCACCCCCTGTTTATCTTCCTCTTGATCGTCTTCTTCATTGTTCAGTATGTTTCTTGTCAATTACCATCAACTCAGGTGGCCACCATGAAAAGCCTGCATGAGTTGTTGAAGAACAACGCAAATTCCAAGTGGAATTCTTCGCTAAACTTAGAAAACCCATGTTCATGGACAGGCGTTTCCTGTAGTAATTCCTCAATAACTGGTCTTACTCTGTCTTCTTTCTCCATCTCCAATGCCCAAGATTCTTGGTCTTCTCTGGTTTGCGGAATTGGAACCTTGCAACATCTTGATCTTTCCAACAATATCCTGACGTCAATCCCACAACCATTCATCTCTTCTTGTGGTCGGATTACTGGTTTGAAACTTTTGAATTTCAGCCAGAACAGATTGAGTGGCCCCTTGCCTGTTTTTCAGGGTTTTAGTTCTTTAGAGGTTTTAGACCTCTCTAATAATATGTTTAATGATGCATCGATTGATTTGCAATTTGATGGCTTGAATGAGCTTAAGAGTTTGAACATTAGTAACAACCAGTTCAGAGGACCTATTCCCACTAAGCTAGGTAATTCGATGCTTCTTGAAGAGCTTCAGTTATCCAGAAATTATTTCGAGGGTAACATCTCTGATGAAATCACGAAGTACGTCAATCTCTCTTTGCTTGATCTAAGTGGGAATAAACTCACTGGGATGATTCCTTCTAGAATTGGTGAACTCTCTAATTTGCAATTGTTACTTCTCTCCGCCAACCAACTGTTTGGTGAAATTCCCCCATCGATTTCCGGAATCACTACTCTTAAGAGATTTGCTGCAAATCAGAATCAGTTTATCGGTGCAATCCCACTGGGAATTACTAGATATCTCAGGAACTTAGACCTCAGTTATAATCGGTTAACTGGGTCGATTCCAGCTGACCTCTTGTTGCAGCAGAATTTACAGACTGTTGATTTGTCCGCTAATAGCTTAGTGGGGTCGATTCCTTCCACTGCCTCAAGAAATTTGTTTAGATTGAGGTTGGGTAACAATTCGCTAGTTGGGCAAATACCAAGATGGTTGTTCGGGGATGATGTTCCGTCATTAGCTTATTTAGAGGTTGATAACAACAACTTGAATGGGAGCATTCCACCTGAGTTGACGATCTTCAAGAATTTATCACTTCTGGACTTATCATTTAACAATTTGGTGGGTTTTCTTCCTCCCGAGTTGGGTAATCTTAACAGATTAGAGGTTCTCCAACTTCAACACAACAATTTGTCTGGAAAGATTCCAGATGAAATCAGCCAGTTACAGATTCTAGTGAAACTAAACATTAGCTGGAATTCACTGAGTGGTTCCATCCCGCAATCCTTCTCTAAGTTACAGAGGCTATCTAATCTGGATTTGCAGGTCAATAATCTCAGTGGCCGAATTCCTGAGTCCTTTGGAACCATGGATTCATTATTAGAGCTTCAACTTGGAAAAAACCGATTTAATGGTGTTGGATCACTGCCCACAAAGCTGCAGATCGCTCTAAATCTTAGTCGCAATGACTTTGAAGGGCCATTACCATCTGCTCTCTCCGAATTACAAGCTCTCGAAGTCTTGGATCTCTCAAACAATGGATTCTCAGGTGGAATTCCAAGTTTCCTTGGTCGAATGCCAAGCTTGACACTATTGCTACTCTCCAACAATAACCTTACAGGAACCATACCCACATTTGGTTCAAACGTAATCGTGTCCACAGATGGTAATAGTTTGTCAAATCCGACACCAACCCCGCCTGTACCTGTGGCCAAGAACAAGAAGCCTGTGTCATGGGGGATCGTTGTGGCTGCCACGTCAGCTGTTGTTGTTCTTACAGTAGTAGCAATCGTGGCGCTTATATACTCTAGGAAAGTTCACAAGGTCAACGATGAGGAAAGACATTCATCTCGGCTGCAGGTCATAAGAAGCAATTTGTTAACCGGAAATGTGATTCATAGATCTAATCTTGACTTCAATAAGGCAATGGAAGCTGTGGCATATCCATCGAATGCTTTCTTTAAGACGAGATTTTCTACGTATTACAAGGCTGTAATGCCATCGGGCATGATCTATTTCGTTAAGAAGCTTAACTGGAGTGACAAAATAATCCAACTTGGCAGCCATAGTTTGCTTGAAGAGGAGCTTCAAGTTCTTGGGAAGTTAAGTAATTCAAGTGTCATGACTCCTCTTGCCTATGCCTTGACTACCAATAGTGCCTATCTTTTCTACGAGTTCACCAAAAAAGGAAGTCTTTTTGATGTTCTTCATGGAAACTTGGCAAGTGGTTTAGATTGGACCAATCGGTACAGTATCGCTATAGGTGTTGCTAACGGCTTGACTTTTCTTCACGGATGCCCCTCGGGTCCAATCATCCTCCTTGATCTTTCGAGTAAAGTCATTATGCTCAAGTCCTTGAACGAACCTCAGATTGGTGATATTGAGCTTGCTAAAGTGATCGATCCTTCAAAGAGTACAGGCAATCTTTCTGCTGTTGCTGGTTCTGTTGGATATGTCCCTCCAGGTATAGTCTCCATTTTTATTCACCTTCATTCATCATATGTTTACCTGAATCCTAGATGCATATTGGTTATCCACTACAATGAAATTGGGTTTACCGGACCTCAAAATCTTTTAAGTTTCTTAATATACTGCTATATAAGACTTAAGTTTATAGGAACAAACAATCGTACATCCTGTAATAAAAGTGTTATATAATAAGAATTAAGTTTATAATAAAAGTGTTACAATAAGTTCGTTCAGAACTTTTCATTGTCTTAACAAGTGTTTTAGTACATTTTGAAATAAATTGTCCTTTTAGCCTTTCTATAGGACATATTTGAGAAGGGTCTTAGGATGACAACTTTTTATTTCTTTGATTTAATATGATTGTTGAATTTCTATTAATATATACACTAGACAATTACACTATTACGTACGTTATTCATATACACATCTTTTCAATCTATTCACATCTTTATATAACTCATTCGTATATATGTTCAGTAATTGTAAACATATATACGTAAATTGAGAAAATTAACTGAATGTAATATACATAAGAAATATGGACAAGTTGTATCAAATGGTTGATGATGAAAAAGAAATTATGAGTAGAAAAATAACATATTCAAGGTTAGAAGAATATTTTAATGTAACAAAGTATCAACCCGACCAACCCGTACGGTTTGGGTTGGGTTGGGTTGCACTTTTGTTTGGTTTGGGTTAAGATTTTTCAAACCGCAAGCATTGGTTTGGGTTGTTCAAATGTCTTCAACCCAATCAACCCAACCCATGAGCACCCCTTACACTAGAGACCTCGCCTATGAAGTAAATCATTGCACCTACCAATTGGGAGAGAATCAATAGATTCCTTTTCGGGAGCGATTCATCCTTCTTGAACGCAGTATGCAACTCTCCATTGTACTGCGCTCTCCAAGTGTGTTTGTCCCTCTTCTTCCTTACCATGGCAAGTCATTGTGAAATAACTTCGATGAGAAGAAAAAAGAAGGCATTAAGAGACCCTCCTGACCCAAATTTGGACACTCTAAGATCCATTGTAACACTTTACATAAGATGTACAAGCATTTGGTCGTATAAACTTAACTCCTAAAAAAAGCCTCTTAGGACACTTGGACATTTTTTGCATTCTATAGACCCTGGGTGGCGGCCATTTAAACTTTACACTTATCATTTGATGTAATACATGCTTTCTCGTCGAAGTATTCAAGGTCGGATCCTAACCTACAATTGTGTTTTTGGCTTTCAGAGTATGCGTACACAATGAGGGTGACGACAGCAGGAAATGTCTACAGTTTCGGTGTGGTTTTGCTTGAATTGTTGACAGGAAAAGCAGCAGTTAGCGAAGGATCTGAGTTAGCCAAGTGGGTATCGAGCAAATCAAAACAGCAAGATGACTATGACCAAATACTCGATTCCACTGTGAGTAGGACATCATCCTTGATTAGAGACCAGATGTTAGCGGTCCTAAGGGTTGCTTTAGCCTGCGTCAATGTCTCACCTGATGCAAGACCGAAAATGAGGAGCGTGCTACCTATGCTCCTTAATGCAAGAAACTAAGAAGATGAATGGTAATGACCATTTACGCTATTATTTTTAAGCTTTCTATCCATGGAATGATACAAGCCTTTTGTATGCATGCCATATAGGTTAATTAGTTTTGTGTAAACTATACAGACGTCAAACTACATGAAAATGCAACGTACTTTGTAAATATGAACTTATTTTTTCTTCTATGGGGCATTGTTGGCAAGACAAATAAGAACTCTCACTACAAGAAAAATCTTTTCTAGCAACATGCGGATTACGACACAAAGTCAAAAATGCGTGCGTAACTCTAGCTTTTCGAGTCTTCTAATTTGCCACTAATGTAATCGAGTCACTAGCTAGGCAAATAATCTATAAATGTCTGAAGTATATCCTTGTGTAAGAAGAGACGAGTGAGCTTTTGTGACACAAGTTTTTGCATCACGATAGGGTTAGAATTAAAGTTTTAGAGGTTGTTTGGATAGAAATTGGGAATGAGAACGGTTGAGAATGCTAGAAAATGGTGATGGGTAATCTTATTGCAATGGTAATATATTGAGTAATCATTATCATTTTTCATAGACGATCATTACTTTTTGCTTAGTGTAAAATTATTAATTTTTTTTTTTCATTTATATCTATGAATGCAAACGTACACATGTATATATAGTCAAAATATTGTTTGAGATGAGAGTTAAAAGTGAGAAGAGATCTGGATTCTTGAATATCTTTAATCTCAAATCCATCCATGAATCATATTTGATATGGAGATTGATCTGGTGCATCTTATTCTAATGTATATCCAAGGATGAAGATCACTTCTTACACTTCTCATTTTAACTCATCTTTTCACCGGAACCCAACCCTATATATCTATAATACTAATATATAAGTAACTTTGTGGACACGTGTCACGTTTCTGTGCGACGGTTGTTGATTTTTCCGGCCTAAAACCAATATTACCCGGGAAAAAAATTTAGAATAATATGTACTCTTATTACTTAATTAATTAATAATAATATGAATTTAATTAATTTATATAGTTATTAAAAGAATATGAATACCTTATTAATTAATAATAACATAAATTTAATTAATTTAT